AGAACCCTCCGAGGTTCACTGATGCTGTTTCCTAATATCTTGTTGCTGAAGCATAATGGGTGAGGACAGTTCCTCTAGTGTTCCCGCTGCAGCTTCTTGTGACATTCGGCTTCGTTGAATCCAAAGAGGAGAAAACGTTTTTCTCCCTCTTCCATCACCTCGGCGTTACGACGTGTGTAAACATCCAAAAAGCAGCCTGAGTCCTTCGGGATGTCTCTGAACACAGAGTGGATTTCTTTTGGCCGTTCTGCTCCTTTGAGACGCACTTTCTCAATTTGTTGTGCAAATGTCCCAAAAAAGGCTCCGACAGCCGAGAGGAGTCTGTGATCACATGACGCGACTCGCGGGAATGATGTAAACGTCCCTTGTGTCTGCTGTCTCCACAGATATTAGCTTACCCAAATCTGCCACGATATGCTACACAGCAGCCTTGCTCAAAGCCAGGGCGGTGTCAGACAAGTGAGTACCCAGCTGTTCTGCTGAGGGTTCTTTTCCTTTAACACAATATGTGTGTCTTTGCATACGGATGCATTCATAATGCTGATTGTAGTGTGTTAATAAGATTAATGTGACGTTCTGAGCTTTTATGTGGGTTTAATCAAAAAGCACTTTAATTACATAGTGTGTGTGTGTGTGTGTGTGTGTGTGTGTGTAGATTCTCTCCAGAGGCAGCATCCAGACGAGGGCTGAGCACAGCAGAGATGAACGCAGTAGAAGCCATCCACAGAGCGGTGGAGTTCAACCCCCACGTGCCTAAAGTGAGAGACACACACACACACACACACACACACACACACACACACACACACACACACACACACACACACACAGCACCTCAAAGCGGTGGTCTAATCCTGTTCTTTTCTTGTCGTCCTCCTCCTCCTCCTCAGTATCTGCTGGAGATGAAGAGTCTGATTCTTCCTCCAGAACACATCCTGAAGAGAGGAGACAGCGAGGCCATCGCCTACGCCTTCTTCCACCTGCAGCACTGGAAGAGGGTGGAGGGGGCGCTCAACCTGCTGCACTGCACCTGGGAGGGCAGTGAGTGTGCGCACACACACACATACACTACTGGCCACGTGACAGATTGCACAGCGTACTGAGGTGTGTGTGTGTGTGTGTGTGTGTGTGTGTGCAGCATTCAGAATGATCCCGTATCCTCTGGAGAAAGGTCACCTGTTCTACCCGTACCCCATCTGCACAGAGACGGCCGACAGGGAGCTGCTACCCAGTAAGAGACGCCCTGGCACACACACACACACACGCACACACACGCACACACACGCACACAAGGCGTATTTACACAGTAACTTGAGTTTAAATATTCCCACTGTTTTTCAGCAATATCACAAAAGATGAAAACAGTGAAAAACTGTTTTTGTTTTCGCTGTTTATAGACCATAAACTGTATATAATGTTGTGACTATGGACTTAAAAAATATAAACTATAGTGTTACTAGTAGTTGCTTTACACACACCGTAAAATACTGATGTTGTATTTATATTTCTACATTTTATTTTGAAACGAAACACCAGTCTCTAGACTCATCTCATGTTGTTCAAATCTTAAAAACATCAAACAAATTAAGTTAAAGTACAGAAGTTTCCCGAGGGAGTTGAAAGTATGAATAAAAGTACCTCAGATGTGTACTTGTGTGAGTGTACGTTTGAGGAAGTTGAGCTTTGATTGGATTATTTGTCCAAACATTTGAGGATGATTTCCTCCAGTAATTATGTTGATTTTATCCGACTAAAGATTCTGTGGTTGAATTTGTAATAATTGTGATGATGAGACAAATTCCTGAAGTGTGTGTGTGTTTGTGTGTGTGTGTGTGTGTGTGTGTGTGTGTGTGTGTGCGCTCGCTCAGCAGCGCGTCCGTCTTCAGGCACAAACTTTCACTTTATTAAATTGGCTTCTGGCCAGCAGCAGCGGCACACTGCTGTGTGTGTTTTAAGAATTCATCAGGATTGCTGATTCTTTTCTCGCGCCTCCTTGTTAGCGTCCGAAACAATTGGCCGTTTATACGAAGTGAGCGTCGTCACGGCGATGTCGCCTCATTGGTTTGTGGACTGACCTTTAGGGATTTCCCCGTCGCCATCTTGGATGCAGGCCGCGGTGGTGTTGATGTTTTTGTACTAAAGAGGAGGAGTGACGTGGAGATGCTGAGAGACCTGTCAATCACAGTGGTCCCGCCCTAAAGCATCCCCTGCTTTATGTTTGACTCTAAACGAACCACAATCTACTAAATAAACATGCTGTATTGAAGAAGACTTGAAACTAGAGATCGAGACTGTAAACGCATGTTTACAGAGGGAATAAATCCAGAAGTAGTCATTTTGTCATAGATGTCTATGGGACCAAAGGAGTCGACCCCTGCTGGTCACTACAGAGAATGCAGCTCTAACAAACGTTTGCACTTCAATGCAACTGCTTTGTACATGACTACTGTGATTACTTTAGTAACAAGGACAAACAGAATTACTTTAGTAGGTTATCTGGTCAAAAAAATCTTAAGTACATTTTTAAACATACTTAATGTGAATCTATAAACTAACATTATATTTGTGTGTGTGTGTGTGTCTGTTTGTGTGTCTCTCTGCGTGTGTGTGTTTGTCCCACGTGGAAGCAGTGTTTCACGAGGTGTCGGTCTACCCGAAGAAGGAGCTGCCCTTCTTCATCCTCTTCACAGCCGGACTCTGCTCCTTCACCGCCATGCTGGCTCTGCTCACACACCAGTTCCCCGAGCTCATGGGAGTGTTCGCTAAGGCTGTGAGTCACGCACACGCACACATACACACCAGAGCCTCCTCCTGCTGTCACTAGCAGCTCCTCTCATGGTCATCTTCCCAGCTGATGAAGCTCTTTAACAAGTTGGGTCATTTGCAGCTTTTCTGTTTATATATGTCTTCTCTTGCTCTTGGCTCCTCCCCTTCTTCTTCTAGTTCCTCAGCACGCTGTTCGCTCCTCTCAACTTCATCATGGAGAAGGTGGAGAGCATCCTGCCGTCCAGCCTCTGGCACCAACTCACCCGCATCTGACCCGGACCCCCTCCCGGACAGAGACCGCTGAACTGATTCCCGGGGGAGGGAGGCGCTGGATCGGACCAGCGCCCCCTTTGTGCCAAGAGGATCGCGCTCAGAACCGAACTGACAAAAAGGCAAAACACTGGAATCCAGAGTTGGTTTTGACATGTTTGCATTTTTGGGGGGGTTTCAATCATTTAAATCTGTTCTTTTGTTGTACAAAGAAAATAAGGTGACCAATTGCCATCATTTGAAAAGTGAAAAGACAAAAATAAAAATACAATAAAGAACTTTTTGTGTAATGCTGCAAGCCGGCTTCTTCCCGACGTTTTTTGATTCCTGCCATTTTACCGGCTGTAACGGCATCGGGCCGGTGAGAAGCCCCAAAACATCTGGAGCAAAAACAGCCGGGAGGTTTGAGTGTTCATCTCTTTAATGCCTCGTGTTGGAGACAGTGAACTTTTCTTATTAAGCGCTCCCTTGTTTACATTTTAAAGAGGATTTTGACATTCACGCAGAATAGTTACGGTTTTTGATAATCCTTTACGTCCACTTTTTAAATGATCACATGACTATAAACACAACACAGAACTTTCAATTTTTAAAAGTTTGAAATTAATATAAAAATATGTATGATGCGGCACATTAGTTATGTGAAACATTAGTTGATGAAGCACAAACAATTTAAACGGAGAGATTAATAAAACAATAAGGCTCTCGCTCGAAGCGGCTGCTCTTGTCCGCCTGTCGTTGTCTTTAACAAACTGGGCGCCCTCTTGTAGTATTAAATATACCGCATTGTCCGCACTCCAAGGCGAACTTAAAAGGCTTTAATTTCCTCAAAAAACGACAGTGCCTTATAATCCGGAGCGCCTCATGTATATGGATCATTTGGTTAATCGGTTGATCCATACTGGTTGTACACGGCGCTCAAGGCGCTCTGCCAAACACGCCAAAGCTCGTCTACAACGGCGAGATGCTGAGCGGCGCTCAAGCTCGCGAGATATGGAGCTGCTTTCAGGGCGCGTCGGGGAAACAAAGCTGTCGTTCTCGCCGAGCACTTCATGAGATTAAAGAGCGAGAGACTGTGCCCTTTTCTCTACAGTAGCTCAACCATCTTAACAGGGAAAATAATTCTAAAAGCAGCCGAAGATTTAATGGCGGCGAGGGGGCGGCGGGAGCGGACGCACCTCGCAGCATCGATGGGACCCTGAAAGCACCGTCTCCACCTTACTGTCAAAAAGAACAACAGCGAGCGCGAAGAAAACTCCTTCGAGCGCGAGCAGAGATTCTCCGAGCAACGAAGTTCACGTTTCGCAGGCGAGCAAATACCTCGCGAAGATGAACTTTTGTTTGCGCGAGGGACTTTAGCTCGCGGATGTTTGATTTTGGTTAAATTCTTAAGGTCATTTAATCATGTTTTGATCAGAGTTGTGATTAAAGGTTTAGGTGGGCCGCGAAAGATTTTCAGATTTCAAATTGGGCCGCGGCATTCTTGGGTTTGGGAACCGCTGCTCTAAACGTGTTATTCGAGAGGCTTTTTAACGAGTGGACTGAAGGCGGAGCTCCCGGCTCTCCTCTCCAGGTACGAACCCTTGATGTCGCCCCCTGCAGGTGGGGGAGGAAACAGCGATAAAGCTCCATGGACATCTATAACTAAGTCTTAAACCTAATAGTTCCAAATACACGTTTGATATTGCACACACTATTTTTGTTTATAGCTGGTGTTGGGTTTTTAAAGCAATGACTTATTTATTTTTAAATAATAAATCCGGCAGCTGTGAAATGTTTCTGCACATTTCATCACAATGAATCCGCATCAAGTGCTAAAAAGCAGCTGAGAGGAAACGGAAGCTTTTGATTGGTTGAGAGATTTGAAAATTCTCAGTGTCCTCACAAATTCTTTATGTTCCTCCACCACAGTTGGCTGCTGGCTGCTTTTTCCTTTTGATAGAAAATAGTCTTCACCTACACACTTTAGCTTCTTTCTTCATTTTTTATTAACTGAATTCATCCTTCAAACACGTATTAATAACCTTCCTTTCTGACATACCATTTTTTTAAATTATATAGTATGGGGGGGTTGCCACAGCTCTGAAGGCCCGAGGCTTAGCGAAGGGTCAGTAAGCACAAGCAGTAAAAAAACACGCACAGATCTCCCCCAGTTTGATTGGCCGGTCACGTCTGGTCTTTACAGGTGTGCACGTCCACCTGCTGCTGACAGTCGCTGCAGCGCACGGCGCAGCACCAGTGGAACTTGCACTCGCACTTCGTGCTCCGGCTGACCCGCGACGTGTCGTAGCCTCGACCGCAGCACATGACCTCACAGCCGTCCACGCCGCGGGACGTCCGGTTACAGACGCGCCCCCCTGTCCCCATCGACCCTGTAGGGGGAGAGAGTGAATATTAATAAAAGGTCCATAAACAATAAACATAACAGACTACGGTTGAGATGAACTTTAATGAAAAGCATCCTGGGATTTAAGACGTAACTCAGGTCCTCTAAAGGTGGCCAGTCTCAATGGGAGCGCAGTATTAACGCCGGCTGCTCCGCCCACACGAGACGGAGAGGCTGAGTGAGATGAGAGACTGATGAGAGGAGCCGTCACCATGAACAACCCCCCCCCCCTCAGCGGTTCATTTCACAGGACACACATCAGATGAACCTTCAAAAAGTCACTTGCATTTTCCGAGAGACTTTCTGCTTGTTACATAAATAACCAAACCCCTCTGTAGAAATACACTTTTACAACAATTTACATCGGTTCAAATACATTATATTTAAGGCTGATTACAATAGTTGGATTCAACTCTGAAGGTACAAAACCTAGAACATACGCCTCTGGCAGAAACCTGTCAATCAGCGTGTAGCCCCGCCCTAAAGCATCCCCTGCCTTATGGTCTGTTTGAATAAAGCATCAATTACTAAATGAGATCGAGACCATAACCTCATGTTGACAATGTTTACTGAGGGAATAAATAAAAGAGAGGAGTCACTTTCTCATAGACGTCTATGGGACCAGAGGAGTCGCCCCCTGCTGGTCACTACAGAGAATGCAGGTTTATGACATGAAGCACAGGACTCACTTTTCAAAAACCGTTTAAATAAAAGTTAAGAAAAAAATAAATGACACAAGTGTCGTCTCGAACACTGTTCAGGAATTTGCTCTGTGTTTACATTCTGCGTTGTCAGCCCCCCGCTCAGGTAATATGTCTGGGCATGACCCGAAGCCCCGCCTCTCTGCCCGCCCGTCGTCTACGAGCGCTGACATCACAGCCGCAGTCTTCCTCACGGCGTCTGCTTATTGAATTAAGATGAGGGGGCGCCGAGAGATGAGTTTAGCACCTGAGCCTCGCCGGGGCCGAGGGAAATTGATTTCACACTAAAAGAGGCACAAAGGGGCGTGTGTGTGTTTGTGAGGGATTGGATTTAGTATCAATGTGTGTTATTCAGAATGATTCAAGGTGAGTTTGCACGTCTGTGGGCGTTATTTTACGTTTATTATATATACTGTTAATATTGCAATTGTGTGTGTATATATATATATATATATATATATACACATACACACCAGCCAATCATCTGCAACTAGCGTGTTCCTACTGGTTAGCAGCGATGCCGTCTCCATGTTGAGGGCCACGTGGAGACATTCCGTATGCACTAAGCCCCGCCCCCAGCCCCTTCTGTGTCCAGCTGTCAAAGCTACGTTACCATGGAAGCCACTGTTATCAAAGGTCTGCAACTCAAGTTCGAAGGAAATATCCCAGATGTGGAGATGATTGATCAGTGACAGCAGGTATAAAAGATCAATGAGAAACTTCTATTAACGAGGATCAGGACTAAACCACCATGACATCACTCTCCACCAAAGAGGCCGAAGCTTACGTCACATGACTTTAGTCTGCAGCCGGAAACAGAACGACGACATGTTTAAAGTAAACACCAGAGGAAACTCTTATCGGACTCTTTTGGGGCCCATTAGATGGCGGAAACCATCAAAACTAACTAACTAAACAAATTTGTTTCAGTTTGAACAACCTTTCTTTTTTTTGAACAATCTTTCTTTTTTAAATTAAATTTAAAAAAAAAAAATATTTAAAAATTTAAATATTTAATTTAAAGTTTCCAGATTCAGAGAAGAGTCTCACTTTGACACAAAAACACACTGAGCTGTTGTATCGTGATCTGACCTCAACTAAATATTCTTTGTTAGCCAGTGGTGCCCTGAGGTGTGTACGCGCTTCCGTTGGTGGTGATTTATAGTGATCTGTGGTCCTCTAAGGTTTCAGCACACAGAAGTGTGTAATGGGTCTTAAACCGGCCGACACTCGATCTGCTGCCTGACAGGCATCAACGTCTCTGTTCCAACACGCACACATGCACACGCAAAGCCTGATGTTTAACTCTTAAACTTAAAGAAAGTCTGAAGACACAGGAATTACCTCACAATCTACTTCCTGTAAGGCAGCATTAGTTTTGATCGTGATTGCAAACAAAACTTTGCTTCTCAATGCAACTTTTGCTCGTTCAGTGAAATCTGGTTAAACATGTTTGAGCGACGCAGACCTCAAAGCCACCAGACTAATATCTATTAGCAGTACACAGCGAGAGTTGCTGGTCCAACGCCTTTTTAACCCTTTAAATACAATAACAAATAGAAGAGGAAGAGGCGCATAACCCCCCGGTGAAGGTCGCCGTCGTGTACCTGACTCGGGGTCCCAGACGCAGTAGTCCGGCGAGTCCTCCAGGTACACCAGGTCGTTCCCGCTGGGCCGCTTGAAGTGCGCATGCGCGGCGGTGAAGCCGGTGCCGTACTGGTTGACGGACACCTGCGCGGCGCCGTTGTACCGCCGGCGCAGCTGGTCGCCGGTGCGCCGGAAGTCGGCCATGGCGAGCCAGCAGGTGCGGACGCTGCACGAGCCGCTGACGCCGTGACATTTACACTCCAAGGTCATGAAGCGCTTCACCGCCTGGCGAGGGGAGGGACAGGAAGTCAGCTTATTGCTTAACCCATCTTTCAATTTGAACCTTTTATGCGCAAATCTTCTCTCAGAGCGAGTAAGATTCATGTTCACAAGTTTGATGAAGTTCTGGAATCTTCTTCCAGACAAAACGCGCTTCCCGCTCATTCCATTAAGTGGACATTCTTTAACATTTCTCACCTTCCTGCCGGCTCGGTTGTTGTGCAGGTTCATGAGCGCCCGGGCGTCCCTCCCCTTCCTCTCCTTGGCGTCCACGAAGCCCTGGCTGAAGCGCACGGCGTGCTCCACGTGGTCGCTGCAGCCGCCCCATTCGAAGGAGCCCCTGGCGTCCCGGGACGAGCCCGTCTTCCTGGGGTCGCAGGAGCAGGAGTCCAGCTCGCCGCGGCTGCAGGCGCGCGCCAGCGTGTGCACCACGCCAGCCGAGGAGATTGCGTACATGAAGGCCACCTCGCGGCTGCCTGGGGGGGGAGGAGGGGGAGACGGTCACGTCACGTCACGCTGTGGGAGGGGTTCACCTCACTGAGTCTCAGGGCTCACGTCCAGATGTGCAGAAGTCACTGCAGGACGCAGCCCGTCTGCACGCACTGTCACCAGGATGCTCTGGAGGGCGGGCTTAGTGCCTGCAGGCTTTTTATTACCTATTAGTCATTCGTAGTTAGAAATTAAGGAACATAAGAATTCAGACCAATTAAAATGAAAGACAATTAAAAACAAATTGTCAATGCATAGCGTCTTGCTACCAGTGTGTTAGGTATCGGTATATTAAATAACTGCAACACACACGTGCATGCACACACACACACACACACACACCTGGGCTTACCCGAGCGCGGCTAATGAGGAGAAGGACAGCCCACCAGAGAGGATAAAAAACAGAGAGGCCACTCCTGTGTAATTGTTTGAAATTAGCCCGCTGACATTGACAATAAGGCGGGGGCCGGGGGCCTCGGTGTGGCACGGCCGGGGGCCCAGCTGGGAGGTCCGAATACCACGCAGCTGATTAGAGGCCCCCCGACATGAAACGGACTAAGTGGAAGGATCTGCCCGGCGGGTTGAACCCGAGGGCATGGGAGAGCGGCATCGGGCCGCCGGCTCCTGGTCGCTCTCCACTGACAACAAGCAATAGAGGGTCCTCGCAGGAGGAACGCGCTTTACAGGACGCTTCTTTCCCCAAACCCAGAGAAAAGAAACAAGTGCAAATTGCTCCTCATGACCGTCATAACATGTTTTTGCTTCAAACAATCAATCACCATGAATCAATAATCAAAACTGTTGAATAAAGTTACTGTATACACACGGCGTTATGAGATACGAATGGTTCTATCACTAAAAAGCGTTGCACTTGAACTTGAACTGAACTGTTCTGAATCAGCAGCTTTGGCGTATTGATCCTGCAGGTCAAATAAGATCAATTTCTCTCCGACTGACAAATATTTTCAGGCCTAAATCAGAAATCACAATATTACTACAACAAAGTCCCGAGAAGCACGTTAACCCCCCCAGGGCGGCGTGATAGATGTGGAACTGTAAAGTGAGATGAGGTGCGGAATGCGATCCAGCCTTCTGAGGAGGACAGGAGAAGAAGAGGAGGATATACCTTGAAGGGAGGATCAGTTTCACCAGAAGCCTCGGCGCACTAAATCACCGCTCAGCCGGTTGTTTGGATTGTCGCCGTTAAATTGGGAAAACGTGTTTGTTGCCGTTAACAAATCGGTGCTTCAGAAAAGGACTCAGCAGCAGAGGTTCTCTCCGTGGTCCTGGTTGAGGTCAATGAGGTCCACGTAGCATGCGAAGCCACATGGACAAACATCATGGAGATCGCGTTATCATTCGGCGTCCCCCCCAAGGAAACCATAGCGACGCATTCTCGCGCACCGGTCCGTGCAAAATAAACTTCCATCTTCCCGGGACACCACTTACAAAGTTTAGGCAATAAAAGTTGTTAATTGTTGACGTTGTGTTTCTTTAGTTGGAGACAGATGAATGGCCTCCTGTTGGGCATCCTGATGATGTGGATATCATACGATTAGGTTGCATATCAGGTGCTTCATCACTAAATAAAACTACACTTGTAAATATTACAACCTTCTAAATGCTACGAATTGGACTTTTAAACGAATGTAGCTTCCGTGTGCTAATGAAGTCACCAAGACGCGTTGAAGCATTAAAGTAGCTGAACTTCAACAGCTTACAGGAAACAAACTCTGATGTCAATTTAAATGCTCAAAACCTCCCTCTCCCCGGTGAGGCTCAGTGACTTGCTGAAGGGCCCTCCGGCAGGCAGCATGGACACATTCCAGTAACAGACTCTCCTGCTGCTCGAAATGAGGATTCTATTTTGAAGGATAAAGTCACTCACTGCGCAACAGCAGGCGTCCGAACAGGTTGTGCTCCCTGGCCGTGGTGTTGCAGTTCCAGCGGTGGTTGCGGAACTGGTGCTGGCACTCCGAGATCCAGTCCCTCATCCCGGCCCCGATGGCCTGCATCACCTTGGGGTGCTGGCGGCACAGCTGCCGCTGCTTGTTCACCAGGCCGGGGATGTTGTCGCACATCACCTGGGAGCCCAGCGTGCCCATGTACCTGAGGACGGAGGGAGAGTCCAACGCATGAACAAGAGGAGGACAAGGTGGGGCTTTCTGAAGCAATCATCAAACGAAGGGAAAGCGAGAGATAGGAAACAACATCTGGAGGAAAATGTGACAACGCTATCCGAGTTCTTACATGTTAGGAAGAACCGACAGATTGTTAGGTGCATTCAAGAAGACAGAAACTGAAAAGAACGAGTAAAAGAAAATCCAGTGACGTCCATCTCCCCCCAACACGTCCCCTGCAGAACAAAGTGACGAAAGACATGCAGGGATTTCCCCTCAGCGAGAAGCCAGAGGAGGAGAAAAAAAAGAAATGAAAGAAAACGATCTGTGCAAACAGACTGTGGGTATCACAGGCGGTGTGAAGTCTGGAGAAATGCAAACACAACCTTTGAGGGAAGAGAGGAAAGACAGCAAAGAGAAATTTAAATAAAAAAATATTAAAGGACTTTATCCTGTAACCTATTCGTCCAAACATTCTGTGTGTCAAGTCATGAAGATAAATTAACTCAATTCAGACTTTAAGGCCTACATATTAAAGAAGAATGACAGAGAGAGGAGGAAACCATACTTGTTTATAAGTAATTTGAAATCAATAGAAATCAGGGCACTCACCACCAGGACGCATCGACCTCGGCCGTCAGCCAGCAGATCGCTGCAGATAAATAAATACATATTCCACCCGGCAATAAGTTCATATTAACCAAACGTCGATCATTCCCACGAATGAAAGACAGAAACAATAGCAGTCGAAGTCCGAACTGGTTGAATCTCCGAAAACGACCCGCCACCCACCCCCCAAAAAATCATTCAATCTTGGATTAAAAATGTATCATCACGCCGTCGGGGGGCTGCGCGTAAAAGCCATGTCCCCGTGATGCGCCCGCGAGGAGGGCGGAAGGAAAGTGAAGCTCTTAATAGTCGGTCCAGCCGAGATGATGCGCCATCAGCTTTAAATTGCTTCACGCGAGGGGTGGGCACGGTCCCGTCTCAGGAATGAGATGTCTGGGAGAATCTGTTCAGGCTGGTTTGACACCAGACAAGGCTTTGGCCCGCGTCCAGACCGGCGCTACGGAGCCGCGGTTCCGCGCGGGATGGGGGCGCGTCACTCTGACTGCAGTAACGCGCTGAGGGAAGGTCAGACAGACAGACAGCAAAGAACAAATGACGTTAAACACAACACAAGTAGAAGGTGACGGATCGGAGGCCGATGGATGACGCTTTTACGCACAATTCATCTGGTGGGTTGCGCGTGTTTTTGCGGACTAGACGTTTGAAGAATTTACCTTTCAGGGTTCAGGGGGCTGAAATTATCAGTGATGAGTCACTACTATACGTCTACATATCATGCTAACATGTATGCTGCTTAAACAGGTGGTGGGCCAGGCGCATCGGAGCCCGTTGCCTTTCCCAACTGGCGCACAGGTGCCAAGTATCTCTGATCTCCAAAGCATGACGCATTGTTATTTTACAGCCTTACACAAACCATCTCTCGGTCCGACTAATAACTCAGGAATGAAGGTTTGAAAAAAGAAAAAAAAGGAACAGGGAAATTACGTACCGGTTCTCCCAGAGCGACACCCAAAGGTGATGTGTCCATTTCAATTGGATTATCTATCCAGTCTGTTTGAAGTCCCTCTGGGGAATCTGCACCACTGTCATGCGGTATTTCCTTTATCTTTGATCTGGGCCCTGGAGGATCTGGAGGTCCAGGAGACCCTGTCCACATGAGATTAATTGGATTTCCCCCCCCCCTGTGATCCCCGTGGAAGAACACAACTTAGTTGTCTGTAATAGAAATCAAATTGAAGTGGAGTAAATTGAGCACCGATGAGCATGCTCTCTGCGTTCTCTAAAGAGGTCGAGACTCAGCTGGAATGTTCATTTAGAAATAAATCACCTGAGCCGAATCTTCACAAACAAAACAAAGTTGATTTTGTGGGTTTTAAAACGTTTCCTTAAACAAATCATATAAAAGATATCTGTGGTTGGGAAGCATCAGTTTGAACTCAGCTCCAAAATAATCGAAAATATTGATAATAAACGTATTGGAGTCTGAAAGATCAATATACAGAGCCAATACATACTCATTTCACCTCAATGCCTCAACCATGTGACATCAGCTCAGAAATATATAGATATGAAGGGCTCACAGAAATTAATTTACAATATGTATGTATATTATATATGTATTAGGGCTGTCAATAGATTAAAAAAAATTAACTAATTAATCGCACATTTTGAAATTCATCAATCTCGATTAATAGCGATTAATGAATATTGTTTTTAATGAATGTTTGTTTTTCTTCTAAAGACAGTGGCGCATGGAGTAGAGGGCAGCTGCTCCATGTCCCATGTCATTGAGCAAGACACCTAACCCCTAATGGCTCCCCGGGCAAAATGGAAAACCAATGGGTTAAAAATGAACACTGTAAAAAAAGTACGTAGAGTTTACGGTAATAAACTGTTAAATCGCAACGGTAAAAGACCATTGATTAAAAATAGGTAATCTTCTGTTTCTATCACATTGAAATACTGTATATGTATATATCAGCACAAACCATAATTTATGCATCTATTTCTTGTAAGAAATACATTTTCTCACTGTTAATTGTACTGAACAGTGTACCGATAACGGAAATACACCGTATTATGGAAAACACTCTGTACCATAATTTTTACATTCATGACTTAAAAAAAATACAATCTGTCCCTGTTAAATGTACGGACTACTGTGCTGACAACCGAAATATAACGTATTTTAAATGTAACAGCCAGCCCTGTTATTTTAGCATTGATTATATGTAAAGGATATAGTAGGTCACTGTTAATTGCACTAAAAATTGTACTGATGACGGTAATACACCGTAATATGAACAACACTCAATACAGTAGTTTTTGCATGTATTACTATTTAAAAATACATTTTGTTACTGTTAAATGTACGGACTATTTAGCTGCAAATGGAAATATAACATTATGCACAAAAGATTGTAGTGAATATATATAACAGGCAATACTGCAAGTTTTGCAAAGATTATCTGTAAAAAAAAACACATTTAGTTAAGGTTACATTTACCACTGTGCTGATTACAGAAATACTTTAATATAAATACAACAGTCACCACTGTAAGTGTACTAACCATTGTGCTAATAACAGAAATATACCGTGGTGTCACGGTGTGGTTTACTTCATGTTATATTTTGTAGTTTTCTGCCACTTGTGTCCCCGGGTAACTTCACTTCCTGCCTTGTCCCGTCATCCCCTGTGATCGTCTTAATAG